GTTAATATCCAGCATAAAACTTTTACTTATATATAAATCCGTTGCGAATATTTTCGCTTCATAGCAAAACCCAAAAAAATATGTTATGTACTTCCGGTTGCCAAGTATTTTATCGCTAAAAAGGCCGGATTGCTTTAAATTTAATATACCATAAAAATAGGTACTATTTTGTTCATTTGATGAAACGTCAAAAAATTGATGACGGGGATATTTATTTTACAGTAAAATATTTTATTTTTAAGTAATTCTACAGACTATTGTTAATCCCAATTATGTTTCCCCTCTTTTGCGGTGACTCGTTAGCAGCTTTGTTAATTTAGTGTTGTGAAAAAGGAAATAATTTACACACATAACCATGTTTTAAGCTCGAGTAGTTTTATAATCTCATTCCGTACACTGTTGCCAATTTTCTTTGCTATTTGCTGCGAGTTACTTATAGAGATATCTATTAACCAGGCGTCCGTTAGAAATTCCCATTTTTAGCGCTGCTTATATTGTAAAATTATATTTAATATTCAAGTAGTCTTGTAGGCAGTCTTCAGGCTTCGCTCCGTTGTCAATTTTCACTTAGCATCATTGGGGAAATAGCCTTCATGTGGCCTGGTAAATTTTATTAATTATTTATTAAAGTCAAAAAAATCTTTACTTTGGAGCTGCTGAAAATTGCTGTTCCTATGTGGTGTAAGAAGTTATGGGCATCCTGAACCACCTTATGAAGCTTTCGTTGGACTCTTCCAAGAGATATTGGGCTCATCTGATTTGTTTAAAACATTTATCACCACCTTCCTTACTCCTAAACATCTTCTCCAACGTACCCTCGAAAGTTTAGACAACGCTGTTGCCAATTTTTAGCATATTGGCTAGTGGAATTTGATGGTGTACAAAAATAAATGGAAAAAGTATGCGCAGAACCTTTCTCATATTTTTTAAAAGTGTATTGCTTAACTATATAAAATTTACAAATGAAAGACCAAAAAAATTCAATGCGTGTGTTTGTCATTGAACTTCTTCTAAGCGGTTGGATATATGTTTGGATGAAATTGTTTTCTCTCCTCTGGAAGCGGATCAAATACCGACCTATTTCAAGCTAAATTCGAAATCGTGAATACGGAATACGCATACAATTACTTGAATATTGAATCAATTATTTTGATGTCACTAAATGACAGAAGCTATCGGGCATTGTAATCCGTCTTGAAGTCCAATCATTTAACATTTTGCCGTTGACCATTTCCAGTAATTGGTTTTGAAAATATGAAATATGAAGAGCTGGCAACTCGCAGCCGGAATAAAATAAAAATGCGTAGCAAATATACCTAAGTACGATCTATGCCTAAGCCAAAATCATAATAATTTTTGTCCATTTGTCACGGATAATTTTCACCGAAACCGAATATGAAGTAAGCACCGAATATCAAGTAAATCGAACCATCAAAAGGATTTGTTTGAATAGATCAGTGCCTAATCCTTTGTTTTTGTAGAAACCTTTACAGAAACCATAGAAACCATCTGCCATAATTTCAAGTCAATCGATCGGTAATTTTTGGACGAATGCAAATAAGATTTTTACATACATACATACATAGATAAAAAGACGTATAATGATTGTTATAAAGTGCAATAATGAAGGAAATAAAAAAATTAATTCTTTAAAAATTGTATTTGAAGTTAAATTGAAAATACTTTAAAATAGCATTTAAATTCTATAGCATGTAAATATTTGCCTATGTACACAAGTTATGTGTACATATTACATGTACATAATTATATAACTTTGAAATAAGAAAGTACAAAAGTCTTCAAAGGCAAACACCAAACACTTGTAATTTCAAGTTCAAGGCGCTACAGTAAGTGATTTGTAATTTTTTGTAAATATTACTTATTATTTATTTCAGTTACTCTATATTAATGACTTACATACACACAAATAATCCACAAGGCCGGCTTATCGCTTGTTTTAGTTACATTTTTTTCTTTATTCTTCTGATTCATATGCTGTTATATAATCGGTGTTTACATGTTACAGGCATGCGTACATATATAAAAGAATATATATGCATATTCACACTACCATCCCATGTGTACAACACAATTACGTATATACATATAATATGTAGATAAATAGGAATGTGCTCATAGCGTAGTTTCTAGTTTGATAAAACGCAAAATGTAATTTTCATTCAAGAAAATCCCTAATTCGGTTCTTAGAAGTGATATACAAATAGTTTTTGCATTACTATGGGAATTTTTAAATAAAATACAAAAATGTTGTTTTTAAAGTTTTAAAGCGGAATTCCCAACCAAATGTGTATAGGAAGTGAGCATGCCAAATCAGTTGATAGCAGAAAAAAATAAATAAATCGACCGGCAGAGTGCTACATAGGCACACATTCTGGATTCTTAAAGCTCTTTGAGCTTTTGAAGACACACGTTAGCTCTATTTTATGCTTAATAATTCAAAAAGACTGAACTGGTTTCAACTCTCGTTCCTCGTGCAAAAGGCATAATAGTCCTCTTAAAGGCAAAGAAGAAACTCTCATTTATTCCATTCTTTCAAATAACTTATTTTGAAAACTTTTTTTGTCATTGATCTACTAGTTAAACATTGTTTATGGAATATATTTTGAAAGTAACGTCATAACGTTCGCAAAGATTATCCATCAACTATCAGATTTGGTTTTAAAGCCTTGGAGATTAAGCTTATCTCACATAAAATGGAAAAGCAATTTAAGAAAAAAACAAGAATGAAATGGACAAGTTTAGTAGTTAACACTATTAGTTCCTAAAAGATGCTATTCTTTTTACAAACTGCTCTACTCGCAGTAATGATAACAAACATTTTTACGATACATTTTTGAAAAAAGAAAATATTTCTTTCAAATTAGAAAAAAAAAATAAATAAATAAACATATAATGTATATAACAAAAATATGTATGCCAATTCTATTGGGGATCCATTCTCTGCATTATTCTTAGCCTTCTTCTTTAATTGCATAGGCACCGCTTCTCCACCCGCTTGCTTTTCCATTGCAGGGTCAATCGATTTTCACAGCCCTCTTTTCAGGCCAATTCCTCACCAGCTAATTAATTCAGATGGGTGAAAATGACCCTTCCAAACAAGCTCTGGGAGCTTTCGGTGAGTCACTATCGATGTGTGTTGAATCGCGTTACCCTCCTTTTGACCAAAGCTGGGCTATTGCTTCCAAATTGTGTCCAATTAGTATAGGTACGAATTTAGAATTTGGTCACAGGAGAAAAGCTCACAGTGTATGAATCCTTGTCCATTCCACCAAATGCACAAAAGAAACCTTCTTGGCCTTCAATCTTGGTTCGGAGACCATTCAACAGTTACCGTTTCCGTTTGATGTTGCTGGATGAAATACGCTTTTCATCACAACCAACCATCCCCTTCAAAAAAGAGTCGATTTTGTTACGATCAGCAGCGATTCTTTTTTGTTTGTGTATCTCGCATTTTTCAAGTCCTTCCAAAGTGTCTTTTGTGCAATGTCTAGCTCTAGGACAATGGAAACGATGCTCGCATAGAGGCTAGACTCGATGATTTCCATTATTTTTTCGACATTTTCGACAATTGGACTTCTACACAGTGCAGCATATTTAACAAAAACATTACTGGAATGAAATGAGCGAAATCATATCTATGCATTAGTGACTGTTACAGTGCAAGGACCATGAACACTATTCTCATTTTCAGTCGCCTGACTGGTGACTTTCGCTTTTATCGAAGAAAATTTAAATTCCATAAAAAGCGTATTCGCTGTTTGACATGCGCTCAAACCCTATTTAGTTAAGCGATAAAAATTTCTTCCATTATCTTTTTTACTACAAAATATTATCTTTCTAAAACCACCTAGCGTAACTCATTCGCACTTGCATATAGAGCAGGATATACAGATCACTAAAGCCATCTATTGCAGAAATAATGGATTACTTTTTACTTACTTCAAGTCCTTACATAATATAAGTATGTATATTGTGTATGTTTGCATATGTACATAAAACCACTATTGAGTGGAGTTTCCGTTTTCTAAATCCCCTATTTTATATGAACAGTATTAAAACCGCATCATTTTATATTTTTTTATGGGGAAATGAACTTTAATTCAGCTCTCAAGGTCGTAAATAGCTTCTAAATCCTGCTTTCATATTTATGTAAAAAAAGCGTGCAAAAAATATGAAAATTGCAAAATTATTATCTACTGTTAAATATTTTTAACTGAAAAATAAAAATAAAAGTGTTTCATATCCAATTACTTATATCCAAAAAAAAAATAAAATAAAATAAAATTTGTTCACGCTGCCAGTGCAAGTCGCCCGAAGCCAGCGCTTATCACTAGTGAAAAAGTATGTCAAGCTCAAGTAATTGCGAATTTTTTTGCTTTCATTTATTTGCAATTCTGCGCAAAGGAAACATACTTTTCCTTATCAATCGAAGAAAACGAAACGCATTTTTTATCAAAACAAAATTGTTTCGCTTATACAAATATAAACTTAAATATATGAGATTATTAATGCTTTTGCATAAACAATAAAAACGTTTTTCTTTTATATGTATGTGCGTTTGTGTGTTTATACATGCAATACAGCATGCGATCAGCTGGTGTAAGCATAAGCCGGTCTCGTGAATTCCTTTGCAGAAATGTTTACTTTTCCACACATACAAGCACATATGCACCCGTGTATATTCTGACGTACGTGTAACGACATCCAAGGCGGGCTGAAGCTGCTCTTGGAACAAATATGGCAACGCCTTTGCGATCTTTAGCTCTTGAATTCCCTACATTGAGCTGCAAAAATTTATCAATTAATTTGTTGTTCAGCGATGAATTCGAATAGCTGAATGCTGAGTAAAATCGAGCAATATTTTTTCAACATAAAATATTTGTTCTCCAGAAAACAGATTGTTTTTTCAAACCTTCCGCAGCGCTATAAAAGCGCCTGCAAACGCTTGAGATGAACAGTTTTCGTGCGCCAAGCGCTCGGTATCGATTCGTCGGCAAGTCTAGTAAGCGGTGAAGTGAAAAAGTAAAAATAAATTGTGAAAAAATTAATGGAAAAATATTGTTGAAAATTTTTGGCTGTGTCTAAAAAGGACATGCACCTATAAAAAGGCGCGCGCATACGCCTTTCCAGCCGACTGGGTGCATGGGTAGCGAAACTTAATGATCCTTTAAGATTCATTTAGCTACTTTATATATGCACATATACTTAACCTTGTGAAAGCTTGCATTGTTTTTTATCTCTTAAATAATTGCGCATTTAAATATTAATTACATACATGCATATATGTTGGTATGTATTAAGTGGCGCATAACATCCGTTGTGTTGTGAATTTTTCAATAACTGTACTTTGAAAGTGAAAAAAGTAATTAATTGTTGTGTGACAAAATGAATTGGTGTTTCAATTTGTACTTGCTGTTGCTTTTGTGGCAGCAATGCAGTCCTGTAATTGTAGCATATGCTGAAGAGGCTCCAAGGTCGGTTAAAAGTGTTAAAAAATGAAAAAAAATTGAAAAAAAATCGAACATTTTTGTGAATACAAAAATTAAAAAAAAAAAGTGTTGTCCTGAATGTCCTTGCTCATATGTCCTTTTTAGTATTTTAAATGACTTGTGGAAATTTAATAAAATACTCAAGTTTTACGCTTTTGAAACATTTTTTTTTATGTGTCCCAATGTCCTGAATGTCCTTTCATATGTTCTTTTCGTAAATAAAATGTGTAAACTTAATTATATATTAAAAACTATTGTTGTATAAGAAATTTTGAAGTCCTTCATAATAAAAAAAAAACGATTTTAATCGTCCTGTGGTCGTTAAAAATATCCTTTTTGGTTTTCAAGTAAAATAAGGAAATTAAATATAATGTTGGAAAATAGTAAAAGAACTTTCGAGGCTTGAAATGTTTTTATGAAAAATTTTTCCAAATTGCCCTGGATGCTATTATGAATATCCTTTTCAGTTTTTATTTTTCAATAATTGAAATATTGGAAATGCATACTAGAACTTTGCGAATTACGAAATATTCAATTGAAAGAAAGTATTTGTTGTCCTTTATAACCTTACTTGAATCCTTTTTTAATTATTTTAAATAAAATATGTAATTTAAATTATATGCTTAAAACTGAAAGGGGCATATTTCGAGGCTGAAATATTTTTAGCTTCTTTAGCATATCATTTAAGGGGTTACATACGTCCAGCAGCACCAAAAATGCGCTCAAACAAAAACTGTTTTCAGAAGGGATAACAATAGAAATAAATATAAAGAAATTTTATACAATGTTTATTGGTACTTAAAGTTTATAAAAAAATGTATTTTAATTTTTCTTTACAAAAATTAGTACATAAAATATCACGCGACCCAAAGTACAATGAAAAAAAAGTTGCTCCACGGTCTGCATCATTTATCCTTGGAATGATGGATCTGTAAAAATAAAAAAAATTCTTGTAAAATGAAGTTGTAGTTATAGTCTGTCGAGCCGAATTTTTTAATTTCGAAAAATTTTCCAATTTACGGAATTTAGAAAAAAAGTATACGTTTTACGTCATAAATGTCACACTTTAATTATGTTCATAAAATTTTTTAATAAAAATATCGAAAATACGGCTCGACAGACTATAGAGAAAACATTTTCGAATATTTAAAAAAAAATCGCATCAAAAAATGTTAAAAACTGTATGAGTTATCATGCAGACCGTGCCGGGAAAAGTAGTTTCGAGAAAAACGCGTTTAATCTTTCATGTGTCATGTGTGTGTTACAGCTACCTGTGTGCATTAAACTCTCGTCAGGCGGTCTGATTTTCTACCATAACTTTGTATCTATGGGGAATTTTTACAATCGACTTTCACAGAAATACGCCTAAAAATATAAAGAATAATAACCTATAAAAAAAAATCGATTTTTTGAAAATTCTGGACGTATGTAACCCCTTAATTATTTTTATTTGATAACTGCGCAATTTCCTTAATGTAAAGAATCGTATCCATATATTAAAATTTTGAAGCAAATATAAACAGTTTAATCCCTTAAGCCAAGGATGTTAAATTTTTGAGTCATCTAACTGACTCCGTTCAACTACTTATATGCATGAATCTTGATAATGCAGTTTCGCTTATCAATTTTTTTAACGTTTGACTTATTTCTCCTTTTTATTAATACTAATTTTTAGTCCAATTAACGCCGTAAATGAGGAGTTACCTGATAATGACCGCGAGGAACGACATGTTTCTGACTTCTTTAAGAGAAAACCAGCAGCGCAGCCAGTTAAGTAAGTAAAAAATGGTAAAAAAAGGAAAAAGGCAAAATATACAAAAATTATTAATATTAGCTTAAGCACAGTTAGAAGAGCGATTGCGTACGTTCTTAATACATACATAACTAGTTATCAATATTAAACGGAAACTCTTGAAAAGAGTGATTTTGATAAAAAAATTATAATTTTATTCACGACCTTCAAATTACAGAATAAACCCAGGCGTAGGCGCTGTTTATGGTGGAGGCGGGTAAGTTTTAAATGTTTTAATTATTTTGAGTTTTTATTTAAGTTAAATATACTTTATTTATATAATTTGCTTTAATTTAACTGCTTCTAATTTTTATCGAATTTTTTTTTAATTAATTTGTTTATTTTATTTTATTTTCATTTATTTAATGTAATTTAATTTTCAACTTACTTTATTTAATTTAATAATATTTCGTTTAATTTAATATACATTAATTTAATATTATTATATTTTATTTTATTTTACCTCCTTTTATAGTAATTTATTTTAATTTTACTTTAATTTTATTTTATTTAATTTTTCCTATTTAATTTAATATAATTGTCCTTATTTTTGGTTTCATCTTTAATTTAATTTAATTTTATTCTATGGTACTTCATTTTATTTTATTTCTTGATCATAATTTTTTTTCCAATAATAACCAGAGCTTACGGTATCAAGACAAGTCACGCAGGCTATGGACACAGGCATGGCGGTGGCGGTTATGGAGGCGGTGGAGGTTATGGAGGCGGTGGAGGTTATGGAGGCGGTGGAGGTTATGGAGGCGGTGGAGGTTATGGCGGTTACGGTGGTTATAGTGGAGGTGGATATGGTGCTAGTGATATCAGCTATGGATCAAATAGCTATGGAAGTAGTGCAAATTATTATAAGGGTGTTTATAGCCCCGGCAGGTATATATGCTCTCCCATAAATTATACAAATAATAACATTTTTTTCGACAAAACTTTTATTTAGTTTTTAATTTCAAGGTTTTTTTAAGTTTTCATCTTACCAAAGAAAATGTTTTTAAATTTTAATTAGCTTAAATCCGTATCTATAACTTTTTTAGGCTTATTCTAATAAATTTTTTAATATATTTTCTAAATCAATAATTAGAGTTTAAGTGGCAATATTAAATCTTTTTTCATTCATTTGGCAGTCAGTCGAGCCAACTTTTCCTGACGAATGAGCGCTCTCAACTGCCAGCCTATGGAAGTTGCGTAGCATACCCATTGCCTGCGAGAACAACTTGGAAGTGTCGAGAGAATCAATGTGAGGTCAGTTGTTCTCCTAAATATAGTTTTCCCGATGGCACAACATTACTGAAATTGGTGTGCATGAGTGGAACTTGGATAATACGCGATGCCGCTTACACCAGTGTGCCACCTTGTCAGGGTAAGGATGTTAGAAATGGTAGGAGAGTATGTTTTCTGTATTTTTTCTGAGAGCACAAAATAAATTGTTTACTTACATATTTTCTCACTAATTCGCTAGAGCATATGCACTCTTTCATACATTATTTTTTGATCATTCATTTTTGCGCAATTATAATCTCACTTGCTCTCAGTTACAGATTATTATACGTGTAAAACGCATCTCTCTTTCTTTCAGCTACTTGCATACCGCCTTGCCAAAATAACGGTATTTGTGTTGAGGCTGGCATTTGTAGATGTGCCGAGAATTTCTATGGTCCATGGTGTCAGAATAAGAAAACAATGTGTAACGGTAAGCCTCCGGTACCAAAAAATTCCAGAGTACAATGTAGGGATAAGTGAGTATTTGTATACAAAGATAGTAATAGGTATTTGTGTTTTAAATAAATACACTTTTCTCAGCATATGCAATGCTCAATGTATGGACGGTTTTCAATATCCCGATGGCAGTACGATAACAAATCTCGAATGTGTCGAGGGGGCTTGGTTTCATAAGAAGACAAACTCGCCGAAACCGCCAGATTGTGCACGTAAGTTGAGTGGAAGGGGCAAACGTAGCGTAAACTAACTTCTCCCGCTCTCTCTGTCTGCTATTATTGCGGAACAGAGAAAAGAAAAGTGAGAGAATATGCTCATTCTAATAACTTATATTTTTCCTCTCACTCTCTTTGTTTCATTTGTACGTTCCAAATATCTTGATTTTACCTCTATATTCTCTCTCGTTCTCCGAAATGCAACTCTAAAGCAACTTGTGAGCCAGCTTGCGAAAATGACGGCAAATGTATCTCTTTTAATGTGTGTCAGTGCACGAAGGATTTTCGGGGTGATAACTGTCAATACAGTGAGTAGCTTAAGATAATTTAGATAATAGTATTTACCTTGAATAAATGTTTATTTCAATGCTTTAACTCTTCGTTAATCTCTCTCTCAAGGTATACAAGCTTGCAATGTGTCACAGAGTGGCTTCAATGGCAGTTACAAATGCCGTTATGATCTCTTGGAGGCAAAATGCAAATTTTCGTGTGCAACAGTGCCTGGCATCAAAGTGCAGGGTAACCTGGATATTGAGTACGGTTGCAAATATAATGTTGGCCAGTTCTATCCGCAGCCACTGCCAAAGTGCATTTATCGTAAGTAGGCCAGTAGGCTCAGCGAGCTGAGTGCAAAATAAATACTCAACAATTAATTTGTACTCTCTCTCTCTCTCTCCGATTTTCTCGCTTTTAGCACCCGGTTATGTGATACACAAGACCTCCATGTCATCTAATTATACTAGCATATATCGCGACGGCGGTGGTGGTGGCAGTTTTGAGCGATATGGCGTTAAGTGGTCCACGGAGAGTGAGCGTATTCAAGCGATCTTTGATACTTTTACCAACGTGCGCAGTGTAAAGTTGATTCGAAATTTAATATATTGTGCATTTTAACCCTATCTTACTACTTTCGCCTTGCAGGAGTGGTGGTCTTCTGAAGAGGTTTCTGTGCCCTCTACGATCTACAATCTCTATACTGAAGGCGATGTGGATGTAATGATCGATCGTACGCCGAAAAATGCTCTGTGTACTACTTGGGGTGGTATAAATATGAAAACCTTCGATGGGTTGATATTCAAGTAAGTACAATTAAGAATTTAGTACCGAAGTTAGATGCGAGTGCTGCAAAAAGGCTAGAGCTTAGGTCCAGGTTTCTGGTAATACTTAAAATATCTTGCCTCTATCATCGTCCTGCGACATTAAAGTCGTAAACATCAGTTTTCTTAATTTCTGAGCAAAGTTTTTCAAAGAAAGACGGGAATTAATAGTTTGGTGTCACCATGACTCTTCCTACTAAGGAAGAAAGGAAGGGAGGTTGGGGCACGTTGGATGAAGCTATAGCTAGGGTGCCAGAATTTGTTGTTATAGTAATTCTTATCGAACACAAAAGAATCCCATCAGGCAAGTTTTCACGAGACCTGTTTTCATATTGAAATCATTATCAGACTTCTGCAGGGGAACTAGTTTAAAGATTCTTTCATTATGTGTCCCAAAGTCTAAGGCTCGTATTTAATGCTCTCGGATTTTAAGAGAGTTAGCTTTATTACTAAAGTGAAAATGTAGAGCAGCAACATAATATCTACGGTTTGGTTCGCACATTGGAGTATTCAGAGGAGAAGCGTTTTCACTTCCTTCCTGGTACACTACAACGCTGACTTTTAATATCTCCCCTTTTTTAGAGCTCCACTCTCATGTTCGCATACGCTAATCAATGACAAGGTCGATGCGACCTTCGATGTAACACTCAAGGCTTGTCCGTACGGCTCAGGTTATGGCTGCGCTCACTCACTGACGATCTATTGGCAGGAAATACCATATATCCTGGATAATACGAGTAAGTCCGGAAGGGATTATATATCATTTTTAAATAATAATATTATTTACCTCTTACACCTCACTTGCGCAGATGGCACCGTTCATCTATCCACTCCGACTAAGAAGTTTCCCATACCTGTACAGGTGATGGGCATGAAAATCATACCGGTTGCTCAGCACATACAAGTGCATCTAGAATCTGTGGGTCTACAAATCGATTGGGATCGTCATCAGTATCTGGGCATACATGCTGGTCCCCCATTGTGGTCCAAAGTTGGCGGTCTTTGTGGCACTTTGGATGGTGATCCCAAAAATGATCTGATGGCGAAGAGTGGTGTGGTTGTAGAGACTGTCAAGTCTTTCACAGACTCGTGGCGCGTAGATGATCGTTCAGAATTGTGTTTAATGGATATCAGTCACGAACAGGAGTATGGCTCGGAGACGTGTGAATTATCGAAGCGTGAAAAGGCTGTTAAGGTGTGTAAACGTTTGCTCTCCAATGACAAATTAGTGGAGTGTATTAAGGGAATCAATCTGGAGAAACTGTTGCGCACATGCGTGGATGATTATTGCAACTGCGTCAATCGTGATCATCCGGAGACTTGCAACTGTGATGCCGTTTCTATGCTGGCTAAGGAGTGCATCTTTAAGGGCATCAAATTGGAGCATGGCTGGCGTGATTTGGAGATCTGTCGTAAGTGGTTGAAGAGCTTAGGTAGGTTTTGTGCTAGAATGCTTATTTATGCTTAATTTTCAGCCGTAAGTTGTGCTTATGGACGCGTATATCAGCCTTGCGGACCGGATGTGGAACCAACATGCGATATGGCTGTTACACCAATTCCAGGGAAATGCAATGAGGGTTGTTTCTGCCCAGCGGGTACTGTGCAGTATCAAGACGCCTGCATTACACAAGAGCTCTGTCCATGCACGATGCGTGGCAAGGAGTTTAAGCCGGAGTCAACCATTAAGAAGAAGTGTAATACATGGTAAGTTGGTGAATACTTCAAAATCTTTATTTTCGCTTCCCTCTTTCTCCACTCCGTTGTCTCACGATATCTTTATTCCTCTCCTAGCACTTGCAAAAGCGGAAAGTGGAAGTGCACAGATGAGGAGTGCGGCGCACGTTGCGGTGCCATTGGTGATCCTCATTACCAGACCTTCGATGGCAAACGTTTTGATTTTATGGGACAGTGCTCCTACTACCTGCTGAAGACGGCTAAGATGTCTGTGGAGGCGGAGAATGTTGCATGTTCCGGGGCGATCTCTGAGAATCTCAATTTGGTTGCCACTGCAGATAATCCTTCTTGCACAAAATCAGTCACCATACGTTTTACGTTGAAGAATGGCGTGCCGCACAGTATACGGTTGGATCAAGGCATGGCTGTGCACATAAATGAGAAGGAGATCACCAAATTCCCGAAAATGCTTGGTGCAGGCGAGGTTCTCTTACGTCTAGCTAGTTCGAGCTTTATGACTGTCGAGTTTCCCGAGGGCATACGAATTTGGTGGGATGGCATCTCGCGTGTGTATATCGATGCACCTCCTAGCTACCGCAATAAGACCGCTGGCCTTTGTGGTACTTTCAACTCAAATACACAAGATGATTTCCTGACGCCGGAGGGTGATATCGAAACAGCGGTAGAGCCGTTCGCCGACAAGTGGCGTACAAAGGATACATGTGACTTCCCAACTGAAACTATACCGGGTCCACACCCGTGTAGCGCCAATCCGGGGAAACGCGAAAACGCTGAGAAATACTGTAACTGGATTATGGATGATATTTTCCAAGACTGTCATTGGACTGTTGAGCCGGAGCAGTACTACGAGGATTGTTTGTATGATGTGTGCGCCTGCAAAGACGAGCCGGATAAATGCTTCTGTCCCATACTCGCTGCTTACGGCAATGAGTGCACGCGTCAGGGTATCAAGACCGGCTGGCGTATGGCAGTGAAGGAGTGTGCCATGAAATGTCCAATGGGTCAGGTGTACGATGAGTGTGGCGATACATGTGCGCGCACCTGTAGCGACCTCGCGTCTAAAAATAGTTGCAAGAAGGAGTGCGTAGAGGGTTGTCGTTGTCCGCATGGCGAATATTTGAATGAGAACAACGAATGTGTGCCACAGCAGAAGTGCCCATGCACCTATGATGGCACCTCATTCAAAGCGGGCTACAAAGAAGTGCGACCGGGTGAGAAGTTTCTGGATTTATGGTGAGTGCTGGATTCTTCTCTAATTTACCTAACAAACTAATTTCTTTACCTTAGCACCTGCACGAGTGGGCTGTGGGAGTGCGAAGACGCTGAGCCTGGCGATGACGAAAAGTATCCGCCTTCCTCGCAACTGCGTGCCGAATGTGCGAACCGTCCCTTTGCCGAATTCTCGAAATGTGCCCCCAAAGAGCCGAAGACGTGTAAGAATATGCATGAGTATGCCGAGAATCTCGAAGACTGTACGCCGGGTTGCGTCTGCATGACGGGCTATGTCTTTGATACCTCACGTAAAGCATGCGTGCTGCCCGAGAATTGCTCGTGCCATCATGGCGGTAAGAGTTACTCGGACGGCGATAAGATTAAAGAGGACTGCAATATTTGGTGGGTTTTAAAACATCTTTTCAGGATTTTTGTGCCCTTCAATAACTGCACCCTTTCATTTGTAGCGTTTGTAAGAGTGGAAATTGGACGTGCTCCTCGAATGGCTGTGGCTCCACCTGCTCTGTCTGGGGTGATTCCCATTTCAGCACGTATGACAACCATGACTTCGACTTTCAAGGCGCCTGCGACTATGTACTCTCCAAGGGTGTTGCTGATAATGGTGATGGTTTTACCGTTACAATACAGAATGTCTTGTGTGGCACTATGGGTGTGACCTGCTCGAAGTCTGTGGAAATTTCATTGTCCGGAAGCATACAGGATTCGATAACATTAACCGCAGATGGATCCTACGTACAAGATCCGAACAAGTCGGCTATTAAAAGTGAGTAGTGGTAGTAGAGATAATAGATGGCTTAAAAGTTCGAGCAAGTATACGATAGATTGAAGTGAGACTTACTATGAGTGAGCTTTAATTGATGCAAAGATTTCAACTGTCCTATAAAGATACTAATGAAGTTGGTTAGACATACCATTTAGCTGTTTATGCAGGAAGACTTACGTCAGGAGCGACTCTTCCGCCACTTCCTGGTAAAAGCCGAGGAAAGTTGTTTGGAAGAAGAAGGCTCGTTTGAAAAGATAAACTCTTCAGCTGTTTGCATGGTCCAAATTATTTTTGTTCCTTGGAGATTTGTAGGACTTGGGCAAAGGTGATGCATAGCAGTTAGAGTCTTTATGGCTAGCTTTGAGATATAAATGCCATGGTATAGCACAGAACTGTCCGAATTCTTAAGACGAGCAGACCAGTCGAAATCATCTTACCGAACTAGGGAGCCTTGCAAATTTTTCAAACTCTTGAACTGATGATTTTCTTTATTGATAATCTCCCCTCTGCTTCTCTCTTTTGTTCACAGAACTTCGCGATGTAAGCAATACTAAAGGCCAAGGCGCCTTCCACATCTACAAGGCGGGCGTATTCATCGTGATCGAAGTAATACCACTCAAGCTGCAAGTGAAATGGGATGAAGGCACACGTGTCTATGTGAAACTCGGCAACGAGTGGAAGAACAAAGTGAAAGGATTGTGCGGCAATTACAATGACAACGCAATGGATGACATGCAAACACCATCCCAAGGTATCGAAACGAGTCCACTCATCTTCGGACATTCATGGAAGGTGCAACAGTTTTGTGCCAAACCCACAACGCCGATAGATGCGTGTAAAGAGCATCCGCAACGTGAGACGTGGGCACAATTGAAGTGTGGTGTGCTCAAATCGGAAATATTTAAGGTGAGCTGAGAGTGTGCGTGTGTATGTATGTATTATGTGTGGTAGACAGCAGATAATTAAAATTCCAATACGCATTGCAATGGCTAATACTTAAGTGCTGCTTCTTGTCTACTCTTCAACTCGTTTAAAATTTTCCACATCGAACTTACTATTTCTTCTTTCCCTTTTATTCGTCCGCAGGACTGCCACGCTGAAGTGTCTGTTGAGAAGTACCTGAAACGCTGCATATACGATACGTGCGCCTGCGATCAGGGTGGCGATTGTGAATGTCTCTGTACGGCCGTGGCTGCCTATGCGCACGCCTGCTCCCAGCACGGCATCAATATACGTTGGCGTACGCCGCACTTCTGTCGTAAGTACTCAGCACGGTGATGAGAAACTTATGTATGCGTCATATGTATACTCGTATGTATGTATGTAGACATGTTGGTAAGGCATGGCTTTGTAGGCTTGTGTGTGTAGGCTCGACGTGAACGGAGTATCGGAAAATCATTGTCTTTTCAATTATTCATTAGGGCAAATCGTCACATGTGATTCTGACGACACTGCAAGTGGCAAGCAAGTGGCTGAATGCGTTGTAGTTTTCCATGAGGGATGTAACGAAATGAGGTTTTTCTAGTGCGAGTTTTAGGAATTTCGCTTTCAAAGTGCTAAAGCTTCGTAAAAGTTTGGAAACTTTGTTCGATGTCTCTTTGAAAACGAGAGGAAAGACCATTGGGCTCCGTTTCGAGCCATCGTAACCTCAGAGGTTTTAAACACGACTTTCAATACAACTGCTTCTACTTCAGAGTCGACCAGGGTTTTAACCTATCAAGTGTTATCACCTCTTCGTCAAACTAACCCCGGTTAAATTTAGTCACTCAGTGCACAGCATGAATGCCTGGAGCTCTGAGCTTATGAATCTTTAGTTCACAGTGGTTCGGTGAGATATGTGTACCAGTTTTTCCAGCTTGCTTACGAAAGTCAAAGCATCTGACTAATTTAACATCAGCTTCAGCTATATACCTTTCGACTGCGGATATGATACAATGTTTGGTTACGAAAAGTTGGATCTTCGAACTCCGTTCGGACTCTTAAATAGCTCACAAAATTGCTCTGGAACTTTCATATTTTGGTTCCTCCTACAGGTTAGCTTCGAGCTATGGACTTCCTGTGCATCTGCGACTTGGCTAAAGCTAAGGCTAATATTCACCTGGAACGAATTTAAGAACAGCTTCGACTCTGATTCGGTTTCGAGAATATATTTTTCGTAGACAAAAAGCCCGTTCGACTGGTTGTGCTTTAATTCAACTATGGTTTTCATATAAAGAATTTAAATACCGCGAACCAAACTGCGGTTCTTCTTCTACATCCCATTTCTTATCACGGTTAAAATTTTCTCAGAGTGCTTGGCTTTTCGTTTGCAGCGTACATTTACTGCCAAATGCGCTGCCAACGAGTTCACCTACGTAACACCGCCAATTCCTATATTCTTATATTAATATACAACAACAAGTCTGTAAAGCTTCAATAACTGTCGACAAAGGGATATTACTCTCCTTCGATTGAGATGTATATATATATAATTTGAACTCTTATCCTTGAGTAGACTTGTCGATTAGCCATAATTGATACTTGAAAATTATTCATTGTGATTTCTATGTAAGCAGTCACTCACACACACACGTGCACACACGCGCCGAAACTTAGGTTATGAAATTTGTATGGAAGCCAAAAAGTATGCATATATTTAATATAGAAAGCTGTATATTGTGCGAGAAAGCTTACCATTTGCCCGCAAGCAATTATTCACACGCCACTCCACGAAGATTTAGAGAGTTTATCCATTCAAGGAAAATTTATTTTTATGGAAGAGATATCAGAGAGATACTGTGAGTCCTACCAAGCCTTGGTAGATCACCTCTCTATTCTGTTTCCGAGAAAGACATGTAGATATTTTCACGGGAGTTGGCTTGAACTCACAGATAAACCATTCTTCGAGGTATACTCTATAGCTCACGACGGCAGGCACGACCATACAATCGGCGCTAAAGTTAACACTAGGCTGGTTCCTGTATGGCACCATTTATAAGATCCCGTTAGTACCGACAAAGATGGTGTTGCAAGATTTGATGTTCACTCCAGAAGAGTGGAAGGATGTGTTTGACTGTTTTTCTTCTAAACTATGCTCCTCAAAAGTCGTTTATTAGACTAAAACCGATTGGATGAGAAGAGGAGGTCAAAGTTGTTCGCCAGGGTTTTCTGTTTCTTCCATTATCCTACTCGTTATTCGATCACAAATCGACGCTTGTTAACCTCCATAATCTTACCTTTGCTGGTTCCAGGTTTTGGTTCTACGGCAGAACTCAGTTTGAAGTTCCTTGATTCTGTTATATTGGATTTCCTTCTTTAATGTAAATATCTAGGACCCTCAAATTTATAAATTTCCCTGATTATTGATTATTTCTTAACTTTTACATCCAGCCATGCAATGTGATCCCCACTGCGCCGAGTATCAAGCCTGCACCCCCGCCTGCGCTGTGGAGACCTGTGACAATTTCCTCGATCAAGGAATGACCGAACGCATGTGTAATCAAGAAAACTGCATTGAGGGCTGTTTTATTAAACCATGTGACGAGGGAATGATCTATCTCAATGATACATACAAGGAATGTGTGCCAAAAGCTGACTGTAAGCCCGTTTGTATGTTGCGCGAAGGCAAAACTTATTACGAGGGCGATATAACATATCAGGATGAATGCGCCACCTGTCGTTGCTCGAAGAAGAAGGAAGTTTGCAGTGGTGTAAAGTGTAAGGAGGCACTAACAACAACAGAGCGACCGAATAATCTTATAATCGATAGCACGACTTCACAACCATTGAATACCGACACACAACCGAAATGTGTACGCGGCTGGACACGTTGGTTCGACAAGGACACCGACACTTCGGGTAAAACAATACATTTGAATGACGAAGAGAAGCTGCCACGTTACGATCGCATGGAGAGCATTTATGGCACGTGTCAGAAGAAATATATGAAGCAAATCGAATGCCGCGTAGTGGGCACACACGAATCGCCCGACTATATGGATGAGAATGTGCGCTGCAATTTGGTGGAGGGCCTCGTGTGTAAGGGTCAATGTCACGACTACGAGCTACGCGTGTTTTGTGAGTGCGATGAGCCGTTGGTCTTGCCACCGGCTTCCACTGAAAGACCACAAATTGGTCAACCATGTGACTCGGTGATTGCGCAATACAAAGAATATCCGGGTGATTGCCACAAGTTCCTGCACTGCCAGCCCATTACGAGTGGTGATGGTTGGATTTATGTGGAGAAGACTTGTGGGGAATATATGATGTTCAATCCAACGCTATCCGTCTGCGATCACATAGCGACGGTGCAGCAAATAAAACCGGCCTGCGGTAAAGTGCCTCCAAACCAGGAGTCGGGCTCGCTAATCGAGTGTGCTGAGGGACAAGTAATGTCTGAGTGTGCGAATCAATGTGAATACACCTGCGACTATTATGGTTCGGTAAGTGTGTGAAAAGATGACGTGTTATTAATTGATTTAAATATAATTTCTTTTTTGTTTCGCTTCAGATTCTACGCAAACGTGGTCTCTGCCAAAAGGGTGAACATTGCAAACGCGGCTGCGTAGATAAGCGTCGTCCTGATTGCCATGCCATAGACAAATATTGGCGCGATGAGGATACTTGTGTTGAGATGGATCAGTGTCCGTGTATGGATAAGTCGGAGAAATATGTTCAGCCCCACATGCTCGTGACCGCCTACGACGAGGTGTGTCAGTGCATCGACAACGCGTACACTTGTGTGCCGAATAAAGTGTCTGAATTGCGTGAGTATGAGATATACTTTGTAGAAAAGATGAACCAAATATCGATAACATTGCCTACATTTAGAAGGAGATTTTATTTAAAGTCGCTTCACATATCTACTAAACATTTAAGTTTATCAGTATTGAGCAATATCAAATTATAGTAAACTACTAAAATTCTGAGAAAGTCGCCAAAAAAATATTAATTCTTTAATTTTTTTGAATGAAGTTTTAATTATTGCTTCTCGTTGGAGTTTCGTTGTAAGGAAATACGCTGCCTACAATTGAGCGACTTTTAAAGAGCATAGCGAAGACGCACACCTACTAGTGCTAATGGTTTTTCTAATTTGCTTTTATCTTATCATTTCTAGCACATATCACGACTCCAAAACCAATTGACAAAGAACATGAACCAGACTTTATACCATCCACGTTGGCGCCACATCTGCAGTGCGAGTCAGAACGGTGAGTTTTCTATTCCAGGCTTATTGTAGGGGTGTGATCACCATAAAGTTTTCTCCCTGCAGCTTCGTGCCACTTATACAGGGCGAGAAACCACTGGCAGATAGCGCGTTTAATGCAAGCTCCACTTCGAACGCGTACAATGCACCTTACATGGCTCGACTGCCTGAAAATCCAAAAGACAGCATTGCCAGCTGGTCGCCCGGCATAGATGATCAAACACAATATCTACAAATCACCTTCCCGGAGCCAGAGCCCATCTTCGGTGTTATTATGGCGGGTTGTCCGAATTTCGATAGATATGTAACACTATTTAAGGTAGATCTCATTGACGGCTACAAAATATTAATTTAAATCCTAAACTTTCTTTCATTCCTCTAACTCACTCAGATACTCTACAGTCATGATGGCGTATCATATCATTTTGTCGTTGACGAAACGGATACACCACAAAAGTTCAACGGTCCACTCGACTCGCGCACACCGCAGCAGACACTCTTCAATATACCCGTCGAGGCGAAGTCTGTACGCATCTATCCGCTTAAGTGGCACGGACACATTGCTATGCGCGTAGAGTTGCTGGGTTGTGGCGAACCGGAGTCGACAACTGTGACCACAGCCACAACCGAAGCGAAGTTTGAGAAACTAATACAGACAACTACTACCGCAAAACCAATTATTTGGCAAGGTGAAGGCATGTGTGTTGACCGTATGGGCGTGGATAATGGCAAAATGCATTCGACTCAAATGAAAGCCAGCAGCATTTGGTCGTTACCTCAACTTGCGAAGAAGCCGCGTCTTATAGATCTACTCAAACTCTCATCGCCCGTCGGTTGGCGGCCAGTCGCCAACACACCGAACGAGTATGTGCAGTTTGACTTCCTGACGCCGCGTAATATATCTGGTTTTATCACCAAAGGCGGTCCCGCCGGTTGGGTTACGAGTTTTAAGGTTATGTTCTCTAAGAATAAATTGATCTGGAACAAACTGCTCTACTTCGATGGACAACCTGAGCAGTTCCGTGGCAATTATGATGAAAACAGTGAAGTTATAAACCACTTCCGCTCGCCCATACTGACACAATACTTTAAGATTGTGCCCTCGAAATGGGAGAGAAATATAAATATGCGTATAGAGCCTGTGGGCTGTTTCGAACCGTATCGTAAGTGTTTCAGTGTAACATCTTGTAGCTAAATTTATTTATCTCCTCTTCCACAGTGGAAATTAAAGAAGAGGTACCGGAGCAGAACAAACCGCCACCAAAATGTCTGGTTTGTGAGGGCATATCTGACAGCGCAGATCTCGATGGGGAATGTAGGTGTCGGGACGGTCTCTACTGGGATGGCCAGAATTGTGTTCAGAGTAATCTGTGTCCATGCGTTGAGGAATATAGCACGTAAGCTACGAAAATAATTCCATTAAACACTTTCTCAAAGCACTTTTGCATACACAGCTATCCTGTCGGGTCCAAGTTTGAAAACAAACAATGCGAGGAGTGTGTTTGTGTTCTTGGTGGTCACTCCAATTGTAAACCTAAGAAGTGCCCACCATGTGTGGAGACCAATTTGCGTACGCTGGTAACACCAGATTGTTTCTGTAAGTGTGAGCCTTGTCCGAAGTACCAACGTATTTGTCCTTCGAGTGGTGATTGTATACCGGAAATGCTCTGGTGTAACGGCGTACAAGATTGCGCAGATGATGAAGATGACACGTGTCAGAAGACGATTTTAGTGACACCACAACCAATTGTAGATAAAAATGAAAGTGAGTAAGATATTTTGGAGGGCTGGGAACAGCTTCTTGTCATATGAAAAAGAAAAGTGATCATTCAATACGTAGAAACAAATTTAAGACTTAATGGGGAAAATGTATGTGGGAACAGTTTTATACGACATATCTCTTATTTATGGGTTTCACAGCCGCATAGGTAGGCTGAGAACTGTTCATTAAAAGAAAGTTTTGATCTCAGTTTGGCTTTTTAAAATTTGTTGGGAATAGTATTTGAATTCGAAGTTTACAATCAGTAAAAGTTTTAATCTAAAATTGCTCTATATTTCTATGAGAACAGTTCATGGAAAATAAGAAAATGTAAAGATGTAAGAAAAATTCTATGATCTCGAGCAGAAATGAGGAGAAATAATGTTCGAGTGGGAACAGATTGGCAGACAAATTTTTTTTGGAAAAAATTTCTTTAATTTTTTATTTTGTTTATTTCGTGGAGAAAATTTTTTTAATTTCTTCTAGTTGGGAACGGTTATCTAAAATTTTTTCTTAAAAGGGAATTCATATATACTTTAAAATAGTGTCATAGAAATTGTTTTACTAAATTTTATTAGCATAAACTCTTTGGGAACAGGTTTTTAATACAAGGAGCCAATAAATTATGTAAACAATTTTCAAAAAATATTTTCGCAGCTTCCATCATCAAATGCCCCGAACCGGAATGTCCACCCAATATGAAGATAAAGGTTTTGGAGAAGAAACAACGTAAGATGTCACAAATGTTTGCAAAATCGTAAGTTTGCACAGAACCTTCAATATGAAAAAAAGGAATGAAAATAATTAATTTCCCCTCACAAACAGCTACACCGATTTGGAAGAAGTCGGTGGCAATATGATAAAGATAACTAAAACAAAAATGGTAATGAGCGAAACGGAAGAGTTCCTCATGTTGCCCACAGGAGAAGTGCGCGGTGTCGAGGAGGAAGAGTGTGCCGAGTTCACTTGTGTACCCACACCCATCAAGGTTGTGGTGCAAAATGAGACCACCAGTTGTCCGGCACCCAAATGTCCAGAAAATTATGAAATTGAATTGGATATGTCCAATGCAAAAGCTGGCCAATGCCAGAAATATGCTTGTGTACTGAAACCCACCAAAGATGATGCATGTGAGATTAGTGGCAAATTCTTTACCACCTTCGATGGCACTGAGTTCAAGTATGACACGTGTAGTCATATACTGGCACGTGATATTAAAAACTCTAATTGGTTGATAAGTGGTAAGACATTTATTGTTTTAATTAATTTCCAGCCATTATTTCTGTTCAGCCAGATTACCATATTTAAGCTATATATTAAATCATTCTCGTTTCAGTGCATCTCATTTGCGAAGATGATTCGCGACGCGTGTGTCGTAAAACGATCACCATCAAGGACATTGAATCGGCTGCCATACTCGTAATCATGCCAAATATGAAGTTGAATTTTAACGGTTTCGAATACACCGTGCCACAATTGATGAACTCACCCATCTGCAAAGCGGCTTTCGTCATTTCACAACCCGGTAACACCGTGCTTGTGGTCTCGCGTAAACATGGCTATTGGGTGCTCTACGATGACATCGGTTACATTAAGATCGGCATATCCTCTAAGCATCTACGCACCGTAGACGGCCTTTGCGGCTACTATGATGGTGTGGCGAACAATGATAAGCGTACACCGGATGGTAGTGTGCTGCAGAACACTGGCAAGTTCGGCGACAGCTGGTTTGACAAGAAGATATCGAAGGAAATGTGCTATCCACAAGCTTGTCCATTTGAGTTGCAGAAAAAGGCGTTGGCATTGTGCAATGCGATTAAGTAAGTGATTGAGAAGCAGGGGCGGTGGGGGTGTGTGATGTGTACACATATTAACTATTTGTACTTGTGTGTTTGTGAGTATTGATGTGTGTATGTATGTATCTTGAAAGTGGTTGCAGTGCATTTTGGTTTTGTGTAATTTTACGGTAAAAACTATTTTTGTTTTCAAACCTCCGCCAGGCATCCGGTGTTCGTTAAGTGCAACAAGGCGGTCAACTACAAACAGTTCGTTAGCAAATGTATGGAAAGCACTTGTGAGTGCCTGCGGGCCCATCCGGGTGAGGACAACACTTGTAAATGCAATGCATTGCAGGACTTTGTTTCCAAATGTTTGACAATTAATCCCAATATACAGTTGAATTTGTGGCGTGCAGTGCAGCAGTGTGGTAAGTTGCGGTCGCTACCGCTGGGAGCTGGTCACAAAAAGCGAATTTGAAGTAAAATTTTTTAAATTTTCATACTTTCGTTTCTCCACAGAAAAAGAATGCGCGGCACCGCTCATACACAACGACTGCTACAAACGCCGTTGCGAGCCTTCGTGTGACTCGCTGAACACCGACGACTGTCCAATTATACCAGATGCCTGCTTCCCCGGCTGTTACTGTCCTGAAGGAACTGTGCGCCAGGGCAAGAAGTGCATAACGGTCGCTGAGTGCAAGGACTGCGTGTGCAATTCGTTTGGCAAATCCCAATTCTTCACTTACGACAAGCGAAATTTCCACTTCAATGGCAACTGCACTTATCTATTGTCGCGCGATATTGTGCTACCGGGTCTCTACAACTTCCAGGTAAGAACTTGTGGTACTTGAATTATGGAAGAGATTTTCAAACATTTTGCTTTACTGCTCAGGTCTACGTCACTATGGACTACTGCAAGCGCCTCGGCTATGCGTCTAATACTACGGATCAGTCATGTATCAAATCTTTCCACATATTTAATGGTGACCATCTTGTACACATTGAACGTCCCAAGTTCGATAAAGTGCCGCGTATAATCGTTGATGGTTCCGAAGAGAAAGTGCCGTTTAAAAAATCGTGGATCAACATGCGTGAGGTGCACGGAAAGGAGATGTTGTTGTCACTATTGGAGAGTAATGTGGACTTGCAGGTCTCTTATGATGATATGGTTTATACGGTAAGTTTGGATATCATGTTGGAAGCTCTAAATTTCAATAGAAGGCTTGTCGAGACTACGAGCTGTCTAGAGCTTCTCTCTTTGACTGTCTTCCCCTTTTTGAGTAGGTTAGATATCTTGCTTAGGTGAACTATTTTTTAATAGTGTGATGCTCTGTAGGAGTATAAGGGAATAGTATCAACCCTGGAGCTCTACCTTGAGGCCTCATATCTATTAGAAAAGGTTTTAATTTAGAACCACCCAACTGACCATGCAACTAGGACTTCGAATAATTTAAAGAAATCCAAAGCTTTATAGCTGCGGTATAATATCCGTATAGTTTCATCTTTCTTTCTCAAACTAGTGCTTCATAGAGAGATACCATTAGGTTTGAGCTCAATTATGAATATCTTCTCAGAGTCTACAAGTCTCATGAGCTTCCCTTGATTGATTTGAAAGCGGTGAGCTCTTTCTGAAAGTAAAAAATCCGGGATACGGAATTGAGTTCAATGATGAAATGACAAACAGTGTTGTACTGTTACCACTAGTTGAAGTAATCTTTACAATGCCTTTCTACAGCTCTCAGTGCCGAGTATCAAGTACAGCGGTAAAATGGAAGGCCTTTGTGGTGACTGTGATCATAACCCTAAAAATGATTTACTTGAGAACCCCGCCAAAAAGAAGGGACGTACGCCAAGCACAGATTTAGCAGTCGTTCTACAAAGTTGGCAAGCCGAGGAGCCGAAGTTGGGCAATGAATTGCAGATATGTTCAAGTGAAAGTACACCCGAGAATGAATGTGAACCACCGCCGCCAGAAAAAGACGACTGCCAGTTATTCTACAATAAAAATCTCTTCGGCCAATGCAACAATATCATCGATCCCGGTAATTATGTGGCGTTGTGTCAAAAGGAGCTTTGTAAGCCCGGTAACCGCCAGCAGGTCGTCTGCAATCTAATGGCTGCTTATGCGCACGAGTGCGCCCAGCAAGGCATCTGTTTGAACTGGCGTCGTCCCGATGTTTGTCTCCATGATTGCCCAAGAGACATGATCTATGAGCCATGTGGTTGCGCTAAGACCTGTGATATGATGAAGGCGATACACGAATTCGACGCGGTCAACATGAAGACCGATACTTTCGTGAAGACCGTGGATATGAGTGATATGTGCACGGCAGAAGAGCGTTTCGAGGGTTGCTTCTGTCCGCCTGGTAAGGTTATGGATAATGGTGAGTGTGTGGCGGAGGAGTCCTGTGTCAAATGTGATGATTTGGTGCATACACCGGGCGAAAAATGGAAGAAGGACAAGTGTACGGACTGTGCTTGTAACCACGAGGGTAAAGTGGAGTGTGTAGAGCAGAAGTGTTTGATTGAGGAAAATATTTGTGCCGAAGGATTCACGCCGAAAAAGATTGAATCCGCGGAAGCGTGTTGTCCACGTTACGTGTGTGTGCCTGAGCAGAAACTGCCGCCGCCAGCGACTTGTCTCGAGCCGCTTATGCCCGTTTGTGGTCCAGGACAATTTAAGAAGCAAAAAACCGGACCGGATGGCTGCCCTCAGTTCATATGTGGTAGGTGTCTTTAAAGAGAAAAGTTAGATTCAAATGAGTTCAACTACTGTTAAATTTACAGAGTGCAAGCCGAAGGAGGAGTGTGAGCCCTTAAAGTTGCCGCGCGCGCTTAAACCAGGCGAAAAGGTGGTGAAACAAGAACTCGGCTGCTGTCCGACGCAAGAGATCGTTTGCGATGTGAGCACCTGTCCACCTGCATTGAAAGAATGCGCTGAACGTTTCTACGAAGTAGTGCGTGAACAGGAACTGGATGAGTGTTGTCCACACTATCTCTGTGGTGAGTCCCTTTCTGAAGAAATTTTTGATTTCAGCTATTTATTGATATATCATTCACAGAACCTCCCAAGGATATGTGTATAGTAGAAAATAGTGTTGGCGAAAAATTCATCAAGCCTCTAAATGCAAGATGGCCCCATCCGACAGACCCCTGTAAGCAGGAGCTGTGCTCTTATGGACCAAATGGCACCACACAACTAGCTGCAACGATTGAAACCTGCGATACTTTCTGTCCACCAGGTTTTGTGTATGTGAATAAGCAGCCCACGCTTAAGTGCTGTGGCGATTGTTTGCAGGAGAAGTGTGTATTGGGAAATAAATTATTCGAGGAAGGGGCTACCTGGATGAGCAATGATAATTGCACTACTTACAATTGTTTGCGTAAGGGTGAGGTGTTAATAGTTTCATCATCACAGGAGTCTTGCCCAGATGTGAGCGCTTGTCCCGAGCATTTGCTGGTGCCTTCAGAGAGTGGTTGCTGTGAGTTATGCAAACCGGCGCCTGTTGTGGAGGACCAAAGTAAGTTGTTTTTAGTCATTGAGCAAAGCTTATTGAAGAACGTAAACTTTTTTACAGAGAACTGTCTGCCGGTTTCATTGGCTGAGCCGCTAACGGTAGAGATCATTGAAGTCACGGAACCTGGCAAGGATAAATGTATAAACAAAGAGCCAATACAAGGTTTTACTGACTGCGATGGCGCCTGCTCATCGGGTTCGAAATATAATAAGGGTGAGTACTAAGTGTGATTAGAATGCGAGATTTTTCTATCATTTCAACTCATTACAGTGTCTGGGTCACACGAGAAACATTGTCACTGCTGTAGTATTACGGGCTGGAAATCTGTTACGGTGCCTTTGGTTTGTGCGAATGGTAGCAAGATCGTGAGCAAGGTACGTACCGTAGCTCTCAAGCTTCGTTTGAATAGCGGATTCAATCTGGGATTCAGTTAAAGACGAATATCATGACCTTATCAAAGACGGACATAAATACTGGAATTAATTGAAGAGGAAATGAATCCGACATCTGGAAATAAGACAGACAGTTCAAACTATAGCCCAAATTGAAGCGGCTTGTCATAAGAATAGAGTTTAGTAACCCTGCCCTGACTACGAGCTACGAATTAATGACTATTGACTACTGCCTGCTGACTATGGACTGCGGAGTGCCGACTTCTCTGACTGCATACTGATTTCTTTGACTGACTGATTTCTCTACTGTCCGAAGCTCAAAATAATTTGTTTTACCAATTTTCAGGTGGACGTGCCATCGAGCTGCGGTTGCAAGCCATGTGATGAGACCAACCAGTATAGTATCTCTGATGAAATTGATATTCGCATGCAATCACTGCCACATTTACTATCCGGTAAACTTAAGGCACCCTAAGGCGCCGCAGAAGAGGATTTCGATTTGAAGGCTTAGTTTTAAGAACTAAATAAATGAAATAAAATATGCATTGAAAGTAATAAACAAAAATCAGTGTGCTTATTTTCCTAGCAACATGAAAATTATGTTGAGCACGACAGACGTAATTTTATATACCACTTTGTATGTAGAGGTCATCAATGCTTCTTCTCCTGCTTTTCTGCATAAAATTTCACTATTGAAAAGCCATCAACTTTGTGCTCTTGGTCTTTAGTGGTATTAGTCGCTTGCATTTCTAATGGCAACATCTTTGGAGTATTTGCTATTGCGCGATCATACTGATTTATTGCCGTGTCCGTCACGTAATCGAAGTGTCGTAAAATAGATTGCAACAAGCAATGATTTGAAGTACATAAATATTTTTCAAGTTTCTTCTTTACTTTTTGTGCACTTCAATTTCATGAATATTCAAATAGTTTTTCTTTCCACGCAAAGCTTAAATTTTTCATAAGAAAATTAAGTAAGAAAGCTTATTACACGTGGATTTTTGAGTGCCAACTTTTTACTCCGGGAGCTCCGGAGGCTTTTAAATACTTTAATGTGGAGTATTTTTAGAGTATTGCAATTTAATTTAATTAAGATAATTTTGAAATTAACTTTATTTATATTAATTTCCTATGATTATTTTTTATTATATAATAGATTCTTCCTCTTTTATTTTACTTTATTTACTTTTTTTGTCTTAACTCTTTTACATAAATCATTTTTACGTTGTTTTACCTTACTTTACAAGTATTTCAAATAGTTTTTAAAATAAAAAAATATTATTAAAAATATTAAATTTTTTCCATTTATTTAATACCACCGTATTTTATTTTATTTTTTGCTGATTTCAATTTAATTAAATGAAGTCCATAATATTTTTTTTAGCTTATTTTTTTAGATTTCCTTTGTTCATATTATTATTTTATTTTATATTTATTTTATGCATATAAGTTTCCTTATATTCTATTTCGTTTTAATTTTTTTGATTTTTTCTAATTTAATTCAATTTCATTAGATTTTTATTATAAATTATAATATATTAATTTATTTTATTTTATATTATTTTATTTTGCTTAGGTGTAAAATATTTTTTTTATTTCATTATATTTTATTTTATATTATATTATTCTTTTTGTTAATTTAATTTTTCTTTTGGCTTGTTTTTTGCTTTACTTGATTTTGTTTTAAAGCAGTTTAATTTATTTGTATTTATCTTAATTAATTACTTTTTTTTATTTTCTATTTAAATTCGCTAATTTTAGCTTGATATTTAAACTTCTCCTGTTATTGTTATTGCATATGTTAAGTACAGTTATTTATATTATTTATATATGTTAAGTACTATAATTTGTATTATTAATGGTGGAGTAAGCGCACTGCTTTTCAATGTTAACATACTTCTTAGCGTTTCCTTACTAATTTCTTTATATTTTTGTTATTTTTGTTTTGTATATATGTATATCTCTTGCTGTGACTGAATGCATATCCTTGGGCTACGCAATACAATATATGCTCTAAATTCTTAGCACGTTTTTGGAGGCACCACTAATACTACTAACTCATATACACAGAGACAATAATGTACCCTGGCCTAGAGCCGTTGTGTGAAGACATGTGTATGTGTTTATCTGGTTATTTCATGCCTTTGGCCGTCTAGTTGTCTGTTTCTTATCAGCACATGCTTATCACAAATGTCTTCTTTGAACGTCAGTCATTCGATGATATGCTTTTTTTCTCCACATTCTTCCGCATTCTTTTACACTTTGCTACCGCTCATACGCTTGAGCCACAACCGTTTCGGGTGTTTGCCTTGGCTTACTTGTCACTCACTCATTGTGACATATTCGTTTGTCTGCATGTGTGTGTCTGTTATTGTTGTTGTTCACCATAACTTTTTTAATACATTTCTACACCATTTTGCTTATTTTTTCTTACATGTGCTGTGCTGTGTTATGTTGTCATAACACACGCGACATGTGTCTCAACTCGGTTAAATTCATGTATCATCACTCACATCCTTTGCACTTGTGTGTTTAGAAGGCTGTCACGTGTACATATTATAACTTAATTTGTTTGCTTTTGCTTATGTTCTTTCTTTCTATCCCTTGTACTTAATTTTTTCAAATTTTTCAAACGTTTTTTTTGTCTATTATTTGCTTGTTTTAGTTGTCATATTTTTGTTTACTCTCACTCTCTCTGCTGTGTCATGTTTTCCTGTGTGTAGCTACTAAATATGTGGCAGGCTATTTTTTCTGCCTTCAAACTTTGTTTTGTTTTCTTTCTGCATCAAAATCGCTGGTGCCATCTACGAAAGTGTTAGACAGTACTGTGGGTGGGTGGTCATTGTGTTTAGTATTATGAAAATTTTGTGTCAAGTGTTGTGAGCCATACAATTTGCCTTAATGTGTGGGATTTTTATGGTTTCATAACAAAATTTTTCAACAAGAGTTTTGTTTTTGTTGTTTGTAAAGTTTAGCCGAAAATATTTGGGTCAGTTCTGAAGTTTTTTTTTTCCTTTTTTGGGAAGTGTGGTTTATACGTACTCCTATATTTAAGAAGAAGAGTCTTATTTAAATATTAGGAATACTTGTAATATATTAAGTATTTTATTTAAGTAAAGAACTGAAACTATTATAATCCAAAGGGTTGTAATGAAGCAACTGAAAATTTTCATTGTTTAAATGGAATAAAAAACGTTGATAAATACAAACAAAATTTTACTTGCACGCCAACCTATAATTAAACTTTTATCCACCCATTTGCGATGCATTTCAAAATTGTTTTGAGTTATGAGTGTCGTAAACGCCCACATTTGAAAGTAGAAGAACGAGTTCTGTGCTTGTAAACTCCCATTTGAACTACTTTCATGCCATACCTTAGTTTATTACATCTTAAGTTATTCAATTGCAAAATTACATATTTGCCTGCCCAAATGTACTACAACTTACCTACAAATCTGGCCAAGAGCCAAAAGGAACTACCTCCAAATAGGCGGTGATTTTCAAATCAATTTTTAATAAAACAAAAAAGGCATTGCTTGGCGGAAAGGATAAAATGAAATGTGAGAAAAGAATTTTTTTTCGAAAAATAAGTGAAAAAAGTACAATACAATGAACTGAAAAAACTGAAGGAAAATATAAATTAAAATAAAATAAAATAAAATATAATAAAATAAAATAAAATGAAAAAAAATAAATAAAATAAAATAAAATAAAATAAAATAAAATAAAATAAAATAAAATAAAAAAAATAAAATTAAAAAATATAAAATAAAAAATAAAATAAAAAAATAAAAAAAATATATAAAATAAAATAAAATAAATAAAAAAAAAGTGTTATATAAAAAGAAAACAAAAAAATAAAATAACATAAACAAAATAAAATAAAACAAAACAAGTCTAAATAGAAAGATTTAATTTAATTAATGAAGAAAATGTTATTATATATAAAATATATGTAGACCTTCTTTGATTTTGTAAAAGAAAAGGAAGCAAGTGTTTTTTTAGGTCCATCTTGACAAACAGTGCACACTACAAAATAGGAAGTATTGGTTTAAGATCTGGGCCGATATTTAGTGGCATTTCACCACTAGGAACGCCATTCTCTTCTGACATGAAGCAAAAACTCCGTAGAAAAATCTAATAGCTGTTCGGTAGCTTAGTACACTTGTACGCCTCTATTGATTGAGAAAACATCAAAACATAACAAGATTATGAAAGAAGCTTGGCCAAAAATCTTCTCAACGCCTATAAAGCGCAAATTTGATATAAGCGTATTTTTATGAATGGCTGGAATGTTTATCAAAATATAAACACAGTGAAAGCACATTTTACCATAAGTTGCTATTGCTGGATATAATTTTCACTTAAAACTTAAGAGGCTGTCCTAAAATGCTGTAATTCTCCCACAACTATTTGTTTTCCCAAATTGCTCTTCTACATACATAATGAATATATGAAATATTTAAGTAGATATGTTAGGTGTTGTAAAATTAATATTTATAATCTGTTTGTGTTCTCGCGAAAAAAAAACAAAAAAAAATAAAGAATATAAAACTAAATTTATATTTTTTAACAACTTTGACTCGCCAACTGCAGGCTTCTAATGAATATTTAATGAAAATATTTGGACTTAATTTTTAACCTAGTATGCATTTTTGGCGGCTCGGGCTAAATTTTCTGATTGCGGTCGCACCTCGGCAGGGAATGTCAACACCTCCTCTGAAATGAAATAAAGTTCCTCATAAAAAACCATCAGCCTTTCGGAGGCAGCTTAGTATAAACTGTAAGTCTCTCCATTTGTTGGAAACACATCAAGACGCAAAAACCACAAATTGGGCGGAACTCGGCAGAAAATTGCCAATTATATATATATATATATATATACATTTTTTTTAAATGGTTTTGTTCTTAATGTGGTTATAAATCACACCTAAGGTGAGTAGTCGACTATCTAGTAGGCTTCAGCTACAATTCATTGATATTTATGGCATGAAGGCTCCTATTAGCTCTCTTGCTATGGACAAAAAGTATTAACATTCATATATATCTGGCGCCCATAATACCCCCCCCCCCACTCTCCCCTCCCAACTACTTCGTTTTATTTAATTTAATAATCAATTCGGAGTTAATTGTTTTGCGTGAAATTTCTGACATTAATTGTGAGCGCCGCGTGACAGTTCACCTTTGAGGATTCATTATAGTGAAGGTAGTGCATGCATATGTGTGTATGTCTATGTGTTTATGAGTGAACGTGGAATCGCGTGCGTGCGTGAGTTACCTGATTTTTCGGCATAAAATCCAAAAGCGTTACTATTATTACAGCGCACCAGGGAATGCATAGGTGTTGGTATGAGGGGAAGGGTAGGAATGACATGAAATTACTTTCTGGGCGTGAGGTCAGTGTTAGCAAAAAGGAAATGTTAATTAAAAGAGAATTATATTTTAATTGCTGCATGTTGTTGGATAACTTTTATTTTTGGGGTTCAACTTTTTTTTGGTATTTCATTCAGTAGCCATTTAATGGTGTGTGTGTACAAAAATAAATGGTCCGTTTT